TAAATGTGCTATAAAAATAATTAGCTATATGATTATTAAAATATGCTTTATGCATCTCTGGTATAATTTATAATGAATTGTATAAGTGCATAGGTACATTATATAGGACAAAAAGTAGATATATAATTACTTAGAAATTTTTTGTTTATTTTCTAAGAAGTGAGATCTCAGTGGATAAACTACAAACTATGTATCCATACTTATTAAATTTGATTCACGGATCATTTTTAACCATCTCGTGGATGACAGATTGGGAACCACTAATTTATAATAAATCCATTTATATGAAATCAATTGGTAAATTACTCTAATTAGCGGGTTTCATGAACAAAACTGCCGAAATGAAAGAATTGAAGACATGGTATCAGTTGTTAATGTTTGTATCCAAATTTAGCTAACGAAAAATTAATGTAAATAAAAAGCTTATTACATTTGTTATTAATATTATTATACAATTTACTATATTAAATATAATGAGGTTTTCGAAAAGTAGTGAACTACAATAACAAAAATTCTTTTTTATATTATTTTAATATAATATATACCCGAAACAGACCATACAGCTGTTTCGAGTATGTCCAAATACCCATCTTCAGTGGTCTTCGAATTATTTTTTATATTAAATTATTCATTAATAATTTTTTAAGACTGCAAGTACCAGGAATCGAATTCGTGCCCTGTCAAATTTGAAGCTCAGAGTCGGCGCTCTTTAACCAATTGATCCAAAGCCGTACTTGACTTTTATGTTCGCACATTTTTTTGAGTTTTGTTTGTTAATTTGCTGTGAAAGTTTTTATTAACAAATTCACTTGCTGTAGAATAATTAAATTAATTAATTATGTTTTTTCTTTTTAATTGTTAAATTTCAATACTGTGCTGTTTGTAGAGGCATGATTATATTATAATATTATATTATATTATTATAATATATTCAGTATACTTATTATATATCATATTTTTCTATGTAAAGGGTATCTAAGTTTCGACAAAGTCTGACTTAGCATCTTTACTTGTTTTTCTTCCGTTATTGTTTCGATTTATTAACATATGTTTTCTTGACATAATAACAAAAAAAAAGGTTCTGTAACTAACAAAACGAAAATGTTTTAAACAGTTTTACACAACTCCCATGTAAAGGGAATATATAGTTTTATATGTACACCTTTACATATGTATTAGGAAATTACAAAAAGGTGTCATTCAGTAGTCGTAAATATCTGTCTATAAATCTAAAATAGTATATTAGTATAATCGAGTATATCAATTTCACGCCATTCATTATGTTTTGATTTTTAGTTCAAAGGCACTAAAAAAATTCAGTAATTATATTTATTATATATTATTTATTCATTAACACATCTTAAAGACAATGCCCCCATTAATTTGATTGCTGTAGCAAATGAAATATAAAAATAAAAATTAAAAATTATTCCAAATGAGATTAACAACTCCTCACTGTATAATGATTTCTACTGCATGTGTACAGATATTTTTGACTTCACGCCGCCGATAACTAATTATAATTAACGGTCTTCCATATGCTGTGCGAAACTCATAGATTGTACGAATATGGAACCATATACATAATTCATTATCATAATCCCATGTCAGCGGAATGTATTCAAGTGCTCTGCAGTTCGTGCATACGCATTTATAGATACAATATAAACGCGAAGTACTTAAACTGCTTTGCACCCGACTCACATCAGTTGACAAATAGCGTACAGAAATATTTGGATTTAGATTTCAATTAATATTTAAAACTTTGGACACATTTTCTTATTGTTATATTATAATGTTTATTGCTCTCTCTCTACTCACTATAAATAACAAAAACATTTTGTTTACTTTAGTATTTGAACCTTTAATTTCTTCCACACCAATGTCAAGCTATCCGTACTATTCATAGATTAAGTTCTTTCTGATACGTGTTTATGTGCTCTCCCAACCCTTAAAGAATCAATATAAACATATTCTTTTTTCAGGCTGCCTTTTTTAATTCAATATAATATTATTAATTCAAATAATTTTATTAATATTATTATTTAATAGAAATACTTCAAACAAATTATTATTATTATTTAGTAGAGAAAACTATATACTGAGACTTAAGTTATATATTTTTTTGGTAGAGTCAGCTTTTTTAAAAATATATTTCACCCTTGTGGATTCACTTAAACCTATTGGCCCATTGTGTTACCGTATTTAGAGAAAAACTCAAGGTTTAAAACCATTTAGAACCTTTAGCGAAGTTTAAAATGCTGTTTAGTGAAAGGTCTTGTAATTGATCAATATTCTCAAGAAAGGGAGCTCCTAAAGTATTGAATCACCGCCGTGTATGAGCTGGGCAAAAACAAAGTAGATGAAAAGTATTGTCATTGTATTTTCTCAGTTCCCTAGTTTGCAGTGACCTGTAAGTAAACATACTATTAGCCTATTACGGGGCATCTCAATGGGAATATTGGATACATAACTTCTCTTTAGAACATGGACATTTATGAAAATTTTATTTGAGGACAATGTTCTAAGGCTAAACAATGAGTGTTTTAAAATTAATCGATTTTAAAGTTTATAACAGTCTTGAAAGAAATGTCTTCATTACTTACTTCCCCATTAATCTATAACTAGTACAGGTGAACAACTCAAGTGGAGTGCCGCTAGTTGATGCAGTCAAAACAAGATATTCCGGATAAAGAATTACAGCATACTAAAGAAAGGTTTCGGAACTTGATCATTTTTCCTATCATTACAATAAAAAGTATCCTACCCATTAGATATGTATAACTTTGATTTAAAGCTTCATTATCTTACTTTTTATACGAACACCATCACAAATCATATACAAATCTCTTTATACAATTATGATCCCCATTTTTTTATTATCTTGTTATACAAATTTGTCTCATATGAATCTGTGTTATAGAGGGTTTACTAAATGAAATAACCTTCGAACCCTAGTTATGTTATATTTGTTACATTGCTTTTGTTTTCCCTCAAATGTGAACGATCGATTTTTTATGCATTCAACATTATATGTATATGAAATAAATCTCGTAACAGTACAAATTACGATTATAGTATTTGGGGCTCCAAATTGATTACAAATTTTTCTGAAGCTCAATAACAGCTAACTTCAAGCCCAATAGCTTTATGATCAAAACTATATCAAGGTATATTATATATATATGTTTATATCGACATATATACATTTTTTTATTTACTTTATATTTTTTATTCAATTCTGCATCAATTTTTACGTTACAATAATTGAGATTATTAATTGGTCATTATAGATTAGATTAGTTTAATAAATAATATTACTATTTTTTTAAATTAATATTTTGTAGGGGTACCAATAATAGACTGAAACCTTTTTAGCATAGAATCAACCAATATTATAGATTAATCTGGATCAGATTTCTCCTGTTTTCAAATGGTTAATCTTCAAAACCGACTACAAATAAAGTCTGGTGATTATATTGGAGCTTACAGAAACCACGATTGTAAAAATTTTTTGGAGAAGTCTGAAACAAACATTTTTTATTTCTTGAACCTTTAATTGAGACCAAATTTCTTACTCTATTTGATGACACATGTGCCCAAATTATATTGCCAGCGCCGTAATTTAATGTAGCGAACTTGACTTAAATTAAGTAAGATTGGAGATTTAATATTTTTTTCTTTCTTGAAGCTTTTTTGTTCCTTTATTTTCTACATTTTTATAAATAAAACATTCAATTGTGTACCGAACTGTTCAGTAGCTTATGTTAGTTAGTTAATTTCTAGCCCGTGGGAAATTCCCTTTTTCAAATGCTCCAATACTAACTCAAGTGGTTAAAAAATGCAGGCACCTAAATTTTCAAAAAAAAAAACACTCTTAGAATTGTTCTTAAAAAATAATATTATTTTTTTCGTCTGAACTATCGATCTATATTAACGGTATTTTTACCAGTATCATTTAAGCTGTGATATGAGTTTAGCATTCACATGCAGTTTTATTTTTTTCAATAAAGAAGCGATTAACATTTGATTGTATTTTATTTTAAGAAATGATGTAAAAGTCTGCGTACTTTATTATTTCAATTTTTGCAAAATATTTTGAAATATACGCAACTACTCAAAAAATTCTTAGCTGCATCTAATAGGCAGTGAGCGATTGTCTGTATCTATAAATGTATATATGTAATCAAATATATTTATATATTCTATGTAGGTCAATTCATTTATTTTTCTACATTCATTTATTTTAATATTTTTGAATTAGCTTTTATTAAATGAACTAGCAAAAATTAACAACTAAAATAATTTTTTTAATACTGGTATGTTAAATTTATTCACCACGGCACCCTTAATTAACAGGATTTCATTGTATTGCTCTGGCACCCTTTCAAACAAAACCACCTCATTATATCAAATAAACCAAGAAATGCCAAAATTTAAGCGTAAACACTTCAAACCGATTAATGGTCAGACGGAATATGTTATAAGTAATATAACATATTTGAAGGGTCACACATTTTTGCCGGCTAAAATAAAAACAACAACATAGCAGAACGCATAAAGAGCGCAATAACAAAACAAAATATAAGAACACAAGGAATATAGAGCAAAGCAGAGAGAGTGAATGAATTCTATTTTGTTGACAGCAGCAGTCGTGCGCATTTTTATGTTTTGGGGAAGATTTGATTTGCCAAACGGACCCTACTGCAATGTTTGTTTGTTTGTTGCGTTAGTTGCTTCGAATTCGTGTTCGAAAGTGGAGTGTGTGCGGTGCTCGCGCATTAAGGCAGTGTGAATATTTACTTTGTTGACAGTGCCAACCAAGAGCATAAAAATAATTTAAAGGAAAATTATTTTTCGTGCGCGCGGTATCAAGCATTTAATAACAAATGTGCACAAAAGAAAATAAAATTAATTTTAATATATAATGATTGTTAATATATATACATAAAATGTATTATTAAGTGGTATAAATAAAATAATAGTGTGGAGTGTTTTTCATTCAAAAACGAAATTCAAAAAAAATAAAAAATTTAAAACTATACAACATAATTTATTTCGATATACGATGTAATTGCAAATTTATTTTATTTTTTTTCAACATTTGCATACTAAATTAAAATGTAAGTTAAACACAAGAAGTACATTTTTGTTGTTGTCGCTGCTGCTGCTTTGGGTTGGTGTTGTGTAAAAAGGATTGCGAAGCGTTTACGACAATGCGGCGTGCAAAAAATCGATGTCGCTAATTTTGAAAATTGAATGAGAAAATCCTTCTGCTATATGTGAGTGATAAATTGATAAATAATAATCGTAGGCAAAAAATTATTAAATTATTTTAATACAAGTTGAAAAATATTTTTATTGTTTAAGTGAACAAAAAAATGAAGAATTCTTCAACGCGTTCAATTTGTTTTTATGCAATGTGACAGTTTTTTATAACATAGAATGTAAATAGGCAAGCAAAAAGCAAACGGTTTTCTAGAATTTAAACAAAAATCATCTACATAATCAACAAACCAATAAACAAAATTTCAGGGGAGGGTTCAGTGTACAACGAAATTTCGTTTTCAAAAAAAAAAATATCAAAGTAAATTTTCAAGTTTTGAAAATTTTAGTGCTGTACTCATTAATCCACCACCTAAAGTTCGTTTCTCTATTCACCATTCAACATCATTCCAAAAGAACCCTTTTGAATTTTACAAATGGTCAGATATAACTAACCACGATTTTGTTGTTATTGTCATTTGTGTCTTCTGAAAACACAGTGCGCGATAAACAGGTGCGCGATATATAGGTACTATAATTAATTTCAATGTAACAAGTTTTGCAAAAATATTTATTTATTAATTATTATTTGATTATTTTAAATGCAGTTTTTATAGTTAATGCATTGTTGTTGTGGTTAATGTCCATTTCGAGATAGTGAACGGACCGGTCACTATGACTCCTTAACTCACCTTCACCTGTACTCAATTGTATGTGTGAAGTTGATAACACTGACAACTGGCGGTACGTTTTCAAATGAATATGGTGAGAATGTTCCCATATCTGCCAGTAGTGATGGATAACCTCTCTTTGTCTTCAGCAAAGTGTGGGGTAGATTCCAATGTGTATCGTTGATGTTGAAAAGTTTCAGTGCCTTGTTGCGTAAATTTAGAGTTTAGCTTTCAATATGAGATCTTTAGAGTGTTGACCTAAAGCACTGTTAAGACCTTTTTAAACGATTAAAATTAGTATAACTTAAGACCAAGAGTGTTGACTTAAACCACAGTTTAGATCCTTTTGAACGATTAAAATATGCTTGACTACGATTTTTTTTTTTTGAGTGTAGTTTCGAAAGTTTTACCATTAGTCGAAGCATTGAAATAAGAGTGTGAAAGATATATAATATATAAGCATATAAATTGAATAAAACTAAAATTCTAAAACAAAAAAAAAATTTTTATTTTAAATTTCCCATAAAATGTAATATTGTATTATAAGAAAAAATTATGTTAATATAATATGTATGATCGTAGTTGGACATAGTCATTCTCTGGTATTGAGTTGACTGCATTTTATTATTGTTAATAATCATCAATTCTATATATAAATAAGTTGGATGAAAAGTACACTTTAAACTTATCAAGAGAATAGTTACAGTACCAGGTTATTGTGATGGATAGTTGTTAGGAAAATATCAAGGAATTAAAGCAGTCTAACGACGAAGAACATCTCTAAGATCGTGGGTTATATAACCAGACACTAGCTATTTAAAACTTATGCTATTAGACTGTGAGTTGCCTTCAATGCAAATTGTAGAAGTTGTGGAGTTCAAGAAGAAGAAGAAAACATAAAACATTTCTTGTATAGATTCTCGAATCTTGCTAAAAGATGCTGGAAAACTTCTTAGGCAAACATGTCTTCAGTTAAGTTTTTTTGTGAACCAGTGGTGTTATTATGGTTCCGCAAAGTCTTAGTGTGTTGGTCAATTAACCCGACTACAACATTAATCGAAATGAATCTACGATTAAAGAGTATATAAAATTAACCTACGACGATTTTATGGTATATAAAAGAGAATTAACCGTATTATAAAATTTTGATACAATGTAAATAAAACTAAGTATACTACGCATATATTGAAAAATTATACAAATCAGTATAAGAATTTAATTACGTAGTCACCATTATTATTATCGATTACGTATTATCAACGCTCAATACTGGAACTCGTCTACGTTAAATGTAGATGTGTTAAGTACAAAAGTGGATAAGCCAAGACTATTGCTTAATGAATGAACTACATTGTGTTCGTTAGAAATAGGAATCAACGGGGTACCAGCTCCCAACGGAGCTAAGTACTGCGACTACTTCATTTTTTGTGCTGTACATTGCGTTCGTTACTGTTGGTAGTATTATTCCCTTTGTATGTTGGTTTAAAACATTTGCGATTAACTATATATTTAAATGTATTTTATAGGGTATTTTTGTTATGAATTCAGTGAATTAAAAGTTATTTCTACAACATGCAGTTTGCTTTTTACTATTTTTTTTTACCTATTTTCTTTGCTTGACTTTTGTGTCGTTATGGACATAAGGTACTTTCAGGAGCGATCGAGTGTGGAATTACTTATATTACTGTTGATAACAACCAATTCTACCTACATACAAAAAAAGGTGAACTAAACCGATTTTTTTAAAAACGGACTACAACAACATCAATATGGTACATCATGATTCGATAGATTTATATTCTGATTTTTTTAGTCCAAATTATAAAGAGTATAAAACAAGAGACAAAAAACCGGTACTCCATGGTATCTTAAAAACGTATATGTTCATTACGATCTAGAAATTTCATTAGTTTCTGATGCTATAGCTACATACTACCAATAAAACAAAACGAAGTTATACCAGCTTTGGAATCCAACTCTTTAACAACTTTTTTCTGGTCACAGAAAAAAAGTCCTCATACCAGCTTATTTGATATTATAGATACATAGATTTTGAAAGCCTTGGGAACTATATCACCAAGTCACTGCATTCTTTGAGAATTATAGTGACAAATTCATTCTAGTTCCATAGGCGCGCAGCACTTAAAAATGCCATTATGTCCCTTGGAGAGATATTTCCTATTTCCGTTATAAGTGTATAGGCATTGATAAGTACCAAAGTCTGGAAACACTATTACAATTACACAGAATGTGTTCTGCTGTTTTCTCTACTTGGTGACAAAATCTGCAGCTATCGTCCCTTGTAATGCCTAGATTCCAGAGATGTTTTTTGACAACGCAATGTCCAGTGAAAACCCTTTGATAAGTTGGATGCCTTTTCTGTTCAGCATTAATAGCTCCCTAGTTCTGGTTTTTCATCTAATGTGATAGTATAGTAAATATCCACAATTCTTCTAAATATCTTTTATCTATTTTATTAACAATTTTATTTTTCTGTTAATTGCCTTATGTATAATTATAAGAGTTTAATAAAAATTTTCAATTACTAGTAAGAAGGATCAATTTTTAACAAATAATAAACGAGAAATGCATATGATATATTCCTGTTTAATGAATATATCTCTTATCTTAAGCTTATGATTAAGCTTTTTTGGTGTTATCTCGTAAAATTTTTTACATTCATCTTTAAAACACACTTTTTTTTATAGTAAATATATCACTTGTTTTAAGCTGTTGTCTCAAAAGTCATTTACCATTACACGTATTTTATTTTAAAACTATATTTTTCAGGTATATATAACTTGAGACTATCGATTTTCTATATTCGTCCCCCAATGTATGCTACGAGTATAATCGTACTTCTGCTTACAATAATCATATCGCTCGCTTGAAACTTGAGTGTACTACTTTTTTAGTGTTGTTAACTTTCAAGACTTTAGTTTCCATTTTAAAATATTATTTTTATTGTATAATGATAAAATCTCCTGTTAAAATTTTGAGGCTACTGTTTTAGAAGAGCCATACTTAAGTTCTATTAGTTCATTTTTAGTCGTGATGGCTTTGTATAATTAACATCTTGCCATTAACCGTTCTAGGCTATTACTTTTCAAGAGTTATCTTCCCCTTAAATCTCAATTATAGACTATACTTCCACTGTTTAGTGACACATCTCTCTTGTTATCAACTTAAAGCTATTGCTTTTCCAGAGGCTTCTCTCCTTTTTTTATTTATACTATGTTTTTAAGTTTCAGAAAAATCCGTTGGTTATGTCCTCTGAAGAATGTGTCACTCTGAAAAGTAAATATTAATTTAAATGATAAGAAAATTTTTTTTTGATTATATATTTTTTATTATCTTCGAAAATCATTCGCTTTTATTTTGTATAAATCAGAATTTCAAACCAAAACTGTCTTTTTTACATACCCGACCCATAAAGCGGTAAGAATTACAACAGTAATATTGACTCATTTTTGATATGATAATTACAGCCTTGATATATCTATATCATAAACCATATAAGGTTGGAGGAAGGGTGTGCATCTTTACAACATTGAAAGCTATAAACTAAATTTATTAGAAAAATTTTATAATTTTGATAGCAACATTTTAAATTATCAATAGCAGTTTTTTTTTTCTTAAGATAAGTAACCAAAAATAAAATCTAATAAATTATATATTTTTTCTAGCTTATAATTAAATCATTTTTCCATTTTGTGGAATTATATTATATTGTATATAATTTTTTTTTAATGAAGTTTTTATCTGTAAGTATTATGTGCCTTTTTGAAACGATTACGAATGAATAAGTTTTTCAAATGCCATTTCCTGAAATTTAGATAAGATTTTTTTTTATACTAAGAAGTGAATATATAGTTGTGTGTGTATATAAGAATTAGTTAATGAAGTATAATTTTTTATAAATTATTTTAAATATTGAAGTTTAAAATATTGAACAAATAAAATAAATAATAGTAAAATTATTCAAAAAGTTATTAGTCATATGAGATTTATTATTCAGAACACCAATATCTTATACACAGTACGAGTATTGTGTTTCACACATAGTCGGAAGAGTTTTCTCTTTCAATGTATATATACAAAAAAGCACGAACCTAAAATCAAATAAAAATTCTCCAATATAACATCACACAGAGTACTGAGTTTTATATAAATCTGCAAGAAAACGCCTTCTAAAATTTGGAGGTTAAAGTTTGTATATAGGGTAGGAATTTAATATTTTTGTTTTTAATATTTTTGTTTTTAGCTTATTATTATATGGCATACCTTCTGCTCAAAAAGTATCCGGATTTTGTTGTTTGTTAACTACTCTTCCAGTAATAGACCTT